AATCTCACCAGAGTTTCTTTAGGGTTTTCTCTTCTTCCTTCGGATCTATGTGAATCGGTACGTATCTTGATTAAGCTGGTCTTGTAATGTTAAACTGATTTAATTTGGATTGGATTTGTGGATTTCTCTTTTTCTTTTTTCCTGAAGCGTTTACCGTGATCTGGTTTCTGATTGATCTTATTTTGCCTGATTATTCGTCTGAAACTTGTGTTCATTTCTGTACATTGTACTTTCTTCACATTGTTTCATTCGATTTCTCTCCCGTTGCGAGATCGTGGTAATGGCTCGTTTTAGATTTTTCTAGCTTAAATGTGGTCGAATCATGTAGGTTTTAAGCTCTTGCAAATCGATCATACTCATTATTTCGTCAATATTTGGTTGGCTTAATGAGTGTATAAGAAATCAATTAACCATCTTGTTAGGGGGATTTGTCTGTTAATCAGTTTGTAAGAGACAGATCAAAGGTTAGATTCGAAAACTGTAATGATGTATTATGAGTTAGAATGTTAAGATGTGTTGATAGTGACATGAGGTTTTCCTGATTTGGTGAAACATGTGTTCTACTGTTTGGTTTTTTATTTGCTGAACTGTGACCTATAATTACATTTTTTGGATCTTGTAGTATGCACTAAGATGAGGTAAGCTTGTGGAAGATAGGGGTTATGGCCAAAGCCTCTTTGGTTTACCAACTTAGTGAAAAAAGTTAGCAGAAGTTGGTGATCAGTTCTCCTACTGGATTTTGCAGGCTAATAACTAGTACCTGACTGTACCCAGCTTTAAGCTTCCTTAGTTTCAAGAACAGAGGCTTTTTATTTCCTCTGGTTTTTGCTAACTCAGCAGAAGGAGATTGTGACAGGATGTCGAGTGGTCGAAATACTCATTGGTGTCACAGATGTCAACGTGGTGTTTGTCTTCGAGGTCGAGATTCTATTTGTTCTTATTGTGGAGGAGGATTTGTTGAGGAAATTGATGTAGCACCGAGTAGCCCCTTAGATATGCTTAGAGCTCATAGGGATGTTGAACGTGATCCGACCTTTGATCTCATGGAAGCTTTCTCGGCTTTTATGAGAAGCCGCTTAGCTGAAAGAAGCTATGACCGAGATTTCAATGGAAGAATTGGCTCTGCGGGTTCTGAAAGCTTTTCAAGTGTAGCTCCTTTTTTGATCTTTGGTGGTCAAGCTCCCTTTAGATTGGCTGGTGGAGATAATAATTCAGTCGAAGCCTTATTCAACGGGTCACCTGGAATTGGTATTACTCGTGGCACCAACGCTGGAGACTACTTTTTCGGACCTGGTCTTGAAGAATTGATCGAGCAGCTTTCATCGGGCACTCATCACCGAGGTCCACCACCTGCACCAAGAACATCAATTGATGCATTGCCAACCATCAAAATCACACAGAAGCATCTCAAGTCATCAGACTCTCACTGCCCGGTTTGCAAAGACGAATTCGAACTGAAATCAGAAGCAAAGCAAATGCCGTGTAACCATATCTATCATTCTGACTGCATCGTCCCGTGGCTGGTCCAGCATAACTCATGCCCGGTCTGTCGTAAAGAGTTACCATCA